GGTCCTGGTTCTCAAACAACTGCAGGTCCTGGTTCTCAAACAACTGCAACTCCTGGTTCTCAAACAACTGCGGGTCCTGGTTCTCAAACTACTGCAGGTCCTGGTCCTCAAACAACCGCAGGTCCTGGTTCTCAAACCACTGCAAGTCTTGGTTCTCCAACAACTGTAGGTCCTGGTTCTCAAACTACCGAAGGTCCTGGTATGTTTTTTGCTTATATATGTCTTAACTTTATATATTTGTAATGGCACATGTTGTGATATATTCTTTTTTTAAACTTTAGATTAGAAATTTAATATGGAATTTTTGATTGTTGTTATTGATGATTTTTAAATTTGTTTTTCTCTGTCTTCTCGTTTGTGCGTTCCGAGTGTTCTGTTTTTGCTTGTTTTCTTTTAGTTTTCTTCTCACTATAGTGTGTTTGTTGCATGTCTGTCTTGCAATAGCTTGTTCTGTTTTAGCTCTTTTCTCACTATAGTGTGTTTGTTGCATGTCTGTCTTGCAATTGCTTGTTTTGTTTTAGCTCTTTTCTCACTATACTGTGTTTGCTGCATGTCTGTCTTGCAATTGCTTGTTTTCCTTTTTTCCCGAAATGGTTGTCGATTTATGTGGAAATATTATTGCCTTGAATCATCTCTAAATGTATAACAAAATACTTAATATTAATAAAAAAATGAAAAGCGTTCCATTCAAATCATTTCTGGTCTTTTTCAGGGGTCAACGAGTGCATCAGCAGCCCATGTGATAACGGAGGGACGTGTATTGATAGAGTGGTTGGTTTTTATTGTCAATGTCATCAAGCTTTCTTTGGCAGCACATGTCAGCATAGTAAGTATCGATTATATCCTTAATAAGCATAGTAAGTACTACCTCAATTGTATTCTTAATAAGAAGAAATCTCGGAAAACATTTTGGTAGCAAGAGTGCCTCTCACTGCTGAGATGAATCAGTGAACCCTGAGAAGAGTACCCTGGTCCCACACGACTTACCGCCTCATCTCTCCTGAGAAGAGAAGATAGAAAGAAGTTTCTCCTGCTCCATAAAAACTCGCTAAAAAATGTTCCAAACGGAATAAATAACACAGACTTTTCACGTCCTCTTTTTCTAGTCAATCCTTGCTTTTTCAATCCATGCGAAAACAACGCAAAATGTGAGCCAAATGTCAACCGTCCAGAGGAGTACAATTGTGCCTGTCTGCCTGGTTACAGAGGAGATCGATGCGAACAAGGTATGTAAACATGACTAACAGAAGGATTTTCTTTTACCACGATACTAAACCTAACGATACGGTTAAGGGATCTGTATAAAACTTGTTCAAAAAAAGCTATTGGAGGCAAAGGAGATGGGGCAAACAAAGGGACAATTGGGAGATAGGCATTGCAAGATCTAACAACCTCCAGGAAGCCAATGGTCTTTTTTGCCTCAGACGAATTGTCAAACGACGTTGAAAAATATGTTGCTGTGATGGCGAAGACGGGGTCTGAAGTCTCACTCTTTAGGAGAGTGACATATTATTATAGTCTTAGTTAGAGTTCCGTTATGAAGAAAAACCAGAGCCCCTACTTTAAGAAAAATGCTTCTTAGCCCCTCGCGGGTTTTCTAGTAAACTTAGTTACCTTTACGTAAAAGCTGTCAGTGAGGCACAGGTTACCAATTATTATTTATTTCCGCAGACGCTTCCTTTATGAACAACATGTATCCATTCGGAACGGGTGCAGGGGATGTGTTGATGCCGGAGGACTTTATGTACAGCTATAGATGTCTGGAGCTTGGCATGCCTGGACTAGGACTGGAATTCTTAGGAAAAAGACATGAAACATTTTGGGTTAGTCATATAGAACAATTTGATCTGGGATTGAAAAAGGGAATACCTTTGCATTCTGGGGTTAGTTGGCATTGCAGTGCATTATTGGACTGCTTTAGGGGGCGCAATTGACGCCATCACGGAAACTTGGCCCCTAAGAGTCCCACARTGCACTGTGATGCGAACCTTCAAAATGGTTCGGTCACAAGGAGCCCACGCCTTAACCTCTTTATTCAACTATTTACTTCTGGTTTAGATTTGCAGGAATGGCATGATAGAGTTCAATAGAGACTACACGCGTTATTGGCCGCGCAAATTCGGTCTCCGCTACTGGGATCGTTTTCTGCCAACTATAGCACCGTACTGGTCTTTAGTTGAACACCAACTCTTTGACTCAACCACAGTGTTTCAATTCGAGGGGGCTGTTATTGATGAAATAATAAACAACGGCAACAGAAGTTTGGCTCATTCAGGGTAAGTACTTCAAACATACGGGAAGCTTGGGTAGCGTGAGTGAATGAGTTCCCTCGCTCCCTTCCCTCTTACCATTGCGACCTGTCATCAATAGCGAAATTGGAGGTCGTATGTGAGTTGAGCTGCTAGTTCTTAGTTTCATCCGGGACATCGAAAAAGCAACTTCTACATTTTAATAGACCCCTTCCTTGAGACACGGAAAGATTTACTACAGATCCAGGTCAGTTATAGTCTCTACACGGGCGACGCTCACGCAAATTTATTGTACTTTGAATTTATTGTATTCAGAAAGATATACAGCATGCGTATTGATCCTAAGAGACAGTCCAAGGTATATTACCAACTGTACAGCAGATGGAATTACACCAACGCTGCTGCAGCTATGTTGAACAAGTCTTCTGATGACGTCAGAAAGTACACCAAAAACAGCTTGTACAACGATTTTAGAGCTAGCTTTGTCGCTGTGGTAACGTGGGTCAATGTTTATCCTGAACGCTTACGAAATTTTCCGTATTTCGGATTGGTAAGTTCTTACTTCTGAATTTTATTTATTTAAAGTATCCCTTTGGTATCACATTGACATAGGACAATTCAGATCTCCTTTATATTTTTTATCGAGACTTTGGAACAGCCTCTGGGCTGATCAAAATCACAGCTAACTCAAAGATCAAACTAGAATCTGAGACACCATTCTATCGAGAGTTGAGGTGATATCTTACGAGTGAGCACAGCAAGTAAGATATTCTCAACACGATAAGATAGAATCCTTATCTCCAAGCGCCCATGTAATATTCTGTTTAATATATAATTATCGATGAAATACAATTTCAGTGGATTTGTACTATTTCATTCGATTACTACCAATAATCTTATCTTCATATGTGAAGTTAACTTTTTTTAGGAATAGAAAAAAATACATATTTCATCGATAATTATATATTAGTAAAAACATTTATTATCAATTATTTTTTGTTTATTTATATATTGTCCCTTTATTATYATTAGAGCAATACTTTCCAAACGGTCATCATTACGGATGGAGTCTATACATTCACCATGTTTAATTATCCCAGTGGTGGAATACAGTGGGCCGCACCAGTAGATAGGTAAGTTGGGTACTCATCATGGTTAATAGGTCATTATAGCTTCATTTACTACCACTACCGACTCCCCTGCGCACTTTCTTTTCTTCAGTTTATTAGCACCCATTATCTTACTATTCTCATGAGGAAATACAAATTAATAAGAAAAAAAGGATTCGAGGAAAAACCTGGGTCAAAACACAAATCCCACGTGACGAATTTAATGCAAATGAATTTCAACGATGGGTTTTGCTCATTTGCGTTAATTTTGGCACATGTGAAATTCGACGTTCAAAAACTGGGCCTCAAATAATTGTTCTTGCTCTATTTTTTATTCGTTCTAACATTTCATATCCATTCTTTCTGCTAAATTACTTTACAGCTCTCAGCCATCGTGGGTTAACTATTGGTATCGTAAATATCGTTTGCCTGTTGCGGGATGGAACTCTGGCACCGATGACAAAAACCGCTACTTCAACATCAAGCAGTAAGTGCAATTGTCTTTTTGGTCTCTGTCAAGAAACGAATGCCTCAGGACCAATACTATACTCAAAATCAATATTTTGGCGGCGTCTACGTTTCTTCGAAGATACCAAAAGGAGCGCGGTTCCGCCTGGGAACGAGAATGCGTATAACTTCAAAATATTGGACTGCGCGTGCGTGCGAATTGTCTATCGATGAGTATAGGCCTTTTTACATAAATCTCCCAAAGCATTATATTTCGCGCTTAACGTCTTATTTATTTTTAGATTTCATTTAAAAAAATCAAAACAAATAAATTGGATGTCAAACATGGATAATAATTTGTTGTCTATGCCCAACTTTATTTTAATTCTTCGTTTGCACGTTACGTCATCAATTTTTCCCGAGATCACCTGGCTCTTGGGAATGGCTGTACGTTACGTCATCGCCGCCATGTTGGCTATATTTAAAAAAAATATTTCAAAAGTGTCGTTTGTTAATACCACCAACATGGCCGCCATGCTTTTGCCTTTTGTCTCTCCTCAATGCATTAAACGACTGCAAATCGTCAATAGCGGTTTTCCACCATCACGTGACGGCAGCCATGGTAGATAATAGGAACTATACAATCGCTTTACATGAGCAAGAGCAAAGGGATTTTATTGTTCTGCCATCTAACCACAGGCAGCCCAAGCTGTATTATGGGTGCCTGCTCGTGATGGTGCAAAACCTCTATTGCACAGTTTGCATCGAACCAAATATAAAGTAGAGGCTAAATTACCTAACATTTTATTAAGGTCTTCAACATTGGTCATGGCGCAGCTGAGTCAGTTGCCAGGAAACACCCAAGAAACCGGCCGATGGTTCTTCCAAGTAGATGAGTCTAACATGGTGCGGAAAGCAGAGACAAAGTGCTACACCTGGTATCTACAGCAACCCACATTACCCGTTTCATTTCTGCCACCATGTCCATGTTGGAGGGGCCAAGCGCTCTTCGACAGAAGATTCCGGCTCGACAGTACACTCGTGAATCGTCAATTCTCTGCATCATCTCGTGGGGTGTGCTACATATCGAGATGGAGTTCCCAAAGAATACAGTACAATATTATTGATGAGAGAACCAACTTGAGAAGACCTGTTGACAGAAGATGGTCGGCACAGCGTTGTTGCTATGGCACTGACTTTTTGGACTTCGGTTCTCTATTAAAAGGCCCAGAGAGAGGTGGTTATGCACGGCAGCAATTTTCCCCTCCTATTCAAGGTTTTCTGAGCGATGAAGAGGCTTACATCGCCTGTTGCGTGGAATCCGAACTCTGTCGTCTTTTCTACGCAAGAAGACCTTCTGACGATTGCGGATCCTACCGTCCACCAAGAAGGAGTATGTTGAATTCTCGTATAGATTTCTTAGGTTCTTATTCCTTTTAGATCAGTTTTAAGCTTGCGAATGTGTGTTTTTTTAATGATGTTGTCTGCCATTAAGTCTATATAAACATTAATACAAACCTCTCTTGTTGATAGCAGTGACGGGCAGCATTTACCATGAGATTCATTAAGATGATTGATACCAGGGACCTTAAGCTGCAGGACGGGAACGTGGTCGACAACGTCGGCGAAGTTGAGGCGCTTCAACCTTCTATTGTATTATTATTTCGTGTTCACCTAGGACCGTACTCAATAAGCATCCCCGTTTTAGAGTGAAATGACGTCTTTTGGGAACGCTTTACTCATAACGAAAATCAGCAAAGATAAGCTTTTGGCTTAGCCGTTCTCTTTATTACGTAAAAATAGAACATTTCACGTCTTACTTTCAGCATAAGACGGCAATGATCATATGCACAGTATTTCGTACATTCCATTACAACATATTGTATGGTTGCCGTCGTCGTCGTCGTTGCTGTCCTGCAGCTTAAGGTCCCTACCATGCACATGGCGGGCAGTGTTTACCCATGAGATTCATTAAGATGTTTGATACCATGCACATGACGGGCAGTGTTTACCCATGAGATTCATTAAGATGATTGATATCAAGTAATATAATACTCTCTGGTTGATAGCACCACGACTCCCAGACAATCTTTGCTTCTCATTGCGGGTTGTCATTGTAACGAAATTCATAACTCAAAATTTCTTGTCATTTTTCTTTCAGCATGGTTCTGGGGTTATTCTCACATTTTCACAATGGACAACAAGAACTACACTTTCAACGGTCTCGGCGAATACATTATGGCTGATGTTCAGAACGGGTTTTTCCAGCTGCAAGCCAGAACTGCAAAAGCATTAGGAGGCACAGCAACGGTCTATTCTGCAGCGGTTGCTAAGGAACACAATACCAGTAAAATTGAAGCTCGATTGAAGAGTTCAGGAGGTAAAAGACTATGGTTGTATCGAAGGGGCCCAGAATATTTAGCCGATATCCGAAGGCCTTTTTCCGCGAAGAGATCCGAGTGGATCCTACAATATCTTTGTAATTTATCATTTATTTATGCAAAACCTGGTCGCTTTGACACTAGAGAAAAACGTTTGCGCATGCCTGCATTTCAGCACGTTTTCTAAAGAGTTTGATTGAGAAAATAAATATTTGTTTTCTCAAAGCATACAAAACATTTCACGAACATACATTTGCCAGACCACGATACTGTATTAACAAACAAAATATGAAAGAGTTAGCCTTAAGTTTCAAGCATGGACACTAAGTTTTAGCATTTTATGAAGTCCAATTTATCAGGCATGTTTGAAAATCAAATTTACATATGATATGATTTGCATACGGATTCAGAGCATGCGCAGATTTTTTTCACTCGTGTCGGTCGCTTTAGCATTAGAGGAACGCTCCAACACACCATCATCATTCTCATTATTATTATCATACGACACGACACGGATTTTAGCTACATGCTTTCATAGTAATGAGAAGTTTGCCTTAATTCTGTACTTTATTTTTCTTGTAGATGGTCTAGACTTTTTTATCGATGGTTCAGCCTTTGATTACAGCAGCATTACAAATGGCTCAATGAATATCGGGAATTTGTCCATCTCTCGCGACGAAAACGATGGAGTAACAGCCACCTTCCCATCAGGCATCTCTGTCTCGTTCAGCCAAGTTAAAGGGATGATGGCAATCGTATTCGCGGCACCTGAATCGTTTAAGAACAAGACGAGAGGACTTCTAGGGGTCTGGAATGATGATTCTAGTGATGACTTTACTCTTCCTAATGGCACGATTATTCCTGTGTCCTCTAGCGACAGAGACATCCATCATAAGTTTGGTCTTAAATGTATGTATCGATAAAACTGAAGGTTATCCAAACCTTTCGATGTGAATGAAACCAGAATTAAGCCCCTCATTTTGATTAGTTTTTTCTGACTGATTTCAGCACAACAATGTCACGCTATAACATTTTATTGCCTTGACAGTTTAAAAACTCTAACGCTCGGAAAAGACACTGAGTACTAGTAAATCTCGTACTTCATTGACGCCTTTTCATGTTGTATTTAAAAAATAGGGCAAATCACTGCTGCTCAGTCGTTATTTACCTACGCGGCTGGCCAAGGTGTAGACACGTTCAAGAACACTTCATACACACCCCTATTTGCTGATGAGCTCAAATTCACTGACTCGGCACTTGAAGCCAAAGCAAGAGAAACATGTGGTTCTAACCTGGCCTGTCTGTTCGATATTGCTGTTACGAAAGATCTCTCTGTTGGTGGTTCTAACCTGGCCTGTCTGTTCGATATTGCTGTTACGAAAGATCTCTCTGTTGGACAAGCCACCTTGAAGACATTCCAGAAGCTTGTTAATGAGTCAAATCAACTTGGTGAGTGCATGTCAATGTGCGGAATAGATCTTATTCGTCTTGGTGCAATGTTGTAAGTGTGTGTAAGTGTCAAATCAACTTGGTGAGTGCATGTCAATGTGCGGAATAGATCTTATTCGTCTTGGTGCAATGTTTTCCATTACTGAACACGTGTCATCCCCTAGAGTATCATTTCTTGTGCATGAAAAGGATAAATACCTATACCTGGATCTATAATTCAAAACCAAATGGAACTTTTAATCTTCAGGACATGATTATTTTTCAACGTTTCGAGTCATTTCACAGCTGATCTGGAGCTGACTGACCCTCGAGTTCGACTGTTTGATCGCCTTTTTCTTCTTTTAAACTCATGGACTCATTTCATGAATTTTTTTTACAATCTCTTTCAGAAAATTTCCCTCCAACATTGGTGAATTCTAGCTCTACGATCATGCTGAAACTCGGAGAGACAAAGGAATTTGACCTGGTTGCTAATGACACAAATGGAGATCCAATTGTTTTCCTGCCGCCATCTTTTCCTGGATTACTAACCTCCTTAGTGTCTGAAAACACCTTGAATATCAAACTGAAATTATCCACTAMAAATAAGGTACGGTGGATTTGGCTATGTTTGCGATTACCGAAAAAAACTATCTTCCATCATTTTGTCTTCGTTCATTGATTCTTGTCGATCATGTGTCCAAATAGACACAAGAGAAAACAATGGAATTAGGGAGTACCAATGTGCATTTATTTAGTCTAATGTATATTTCACGGGTTTAGTGACTTCACTCTATGACATTTTAATTAAACTATTTAATTTCTAACTACCTAAAAAACACAAACAATACAATGAAGAAGAAAGCTACACATGAATCAAACCTACTCGAGTCAGTGCTGTTTTAAAAGTACTCAAATAGGAGCTTCTATGTTATTTTACTCAATAATTYTTCCTCTCTACAATCCTGACTCCTTAGGTTAATTTCACCATCGTGGTCAGGGACTCGAAAGGCGCATCACTGATCTGGAACCCGACTCTAACATTATGCGCATGTGAAAATGGGGCAAACTGCTCTCAACCAAACAATCTCAACGGTGATAAGTTCCTAGTGATGTCATGCAAATGTGAAAGTGGTTACACTGGCAAGTTTTGTGAAAGCGACCTCAACGCCTGTGATTTCAATAGTAGACCTTGCTATCCTGGAGCTATTTGTACTGATCATCCTCCTCCTAGCGGCAAGCAGGGCTATACATGCGGGCCTTGTCCCGCGGGACACTCGGGCGATGGTGCCAATTGCACAGGTAGACGAGGCACTCTTACTAGAATTAGGTCAAGCGTTGAACTACATGAGCCGAACCTAATGACATCAGAGAAGACCGCCTTGTTTTCCATTGATTTAATTAAGTTCGGCTCATGTGAAGTTCGACGTTTGACTTGATCCTAACGCAATTCTTAACCAAACTTCGATAATCAAAAAATCACTCCATTATTTCATTGCAATTTGTTATTTAGTTTTCCATTAAACTTTCTTATTGACATTCTTTTACCCAGATATCGATGAATGCCTCGATTCTATAACGTGTTCACAGCTGTGCATAAATACTCCGGGCTCATACTTATGTCAGTGCAATGATGGATACATACTCAACGAAGACGGGGAAAATTGTGGTGGTAAGTCTTCATCGGTTACGTCAGAACAAAATTATTCTAATTCGATTCTAATTATTCCTTGATTCTGTTAGAACCAATATGCACCTGGAAATAAAAATCTTATTTCTAAATTGTGTCGCCATGGCCGCTTTGTTGGTTGAGGTCGAAATGATTCTCTTTGGGAAGTCGGTTTTTATCTATGGTTTCAATAGAGGACTACCTCCCTTAAAACGAGCATTTTCGCCAAAATAAAAGAACAGAAATGAAAAGAGCATCTCGGCAATAGTAGGGAGGCGGAGTTGAAATTAAACGTTTCATAAGGATTTGTATGGTAAAATGCGCTGGATGGCAAACGCTTACCAGGCAACACTGTTCCCATTTGATTTTATATTTAATGTCATTTCTTCTATAGTCAACATTTCAAGCCGAGACTTCGCACTCTTTTCATTTCTGGAGCTCATTTTGACTCATTTGCTATTTTTATGGGGGATTGGGTCACGTGACCTGTTAGTACAAGTCGTCTATTTGACTACATTTTCCACACAAACTAAAATCCTTTTTTATCCTCCCATCCTTATCCCCAAAGTCTTCTGAGGTTCCCAAGCGAGAAGAATTACAAAAACTAAACGTAATGGTGCAATATTCTTTTTCCCTCCTATTTTAGACATCGACGAATGTCAAAGACCAGGGACATGCATGCAAAGATGTACCAATTCTCCTGGGAGTTATATCTGCACGTGTGACCCCGCCTTCAAGGTGGATCCAGCCGATCCAAGCAAATGTGTTCGTAAGTATCAAGAAATTGAATGGATGGATGAGAAATGAAATTCAAAATGCAAGAAAGAGAAGAATTGATTAACTGACTGAATGATGGAAAATGATTTAACTTTCTTCCAAACTAACATGTGTTTTTCCGAAAACCGGAGCCAGAATTACAACCTGGCTATAAAATGTTGTTCCTATGCATTCATGGGCTTATTATGTTTACACTCTGAAAAAACAAACATAAAGCGTAACACTGAAAAAAAAATTCTCACCTTTTTGGTTTTTTTCTTGATGTCCTTAGCGAAGTCTCCGTGTTCTCCAAGCGATAATGGCTGCCAGCATGTCTGTTACATGGAAAACAATCAAAAGAAATGCTCTTGTAATGAGGGATACAAACTACAGGACGACGGAAAGAGTTGCAAAGGTACTTTTTAAAGTCAATATCTAAATAGATATTAACATCATCACTAAGAATTGGCATTATTATCAGCATCACCACAATGAGCACCATTGCCATTGGATGGAACAACATCATCAGTACCATAATCATCATAATCTAATTACCATCATCATCTTCATGAACATCATCATTACCAAATTCATGACCACCACCACCATCATCATTATCAACATCTTCATCACCACCACCATCATCATTATCAACATTTTCATTACCAACAACATTTGATCATCATCATGATCATCTTCATCGTCGCCATCATTATCATCATGATCATCATCATCACCAACTCGATGACCAATAACATCTGATCATCATCATGATCATCTTCATCACCACCACCATCATCATTATCAACATCTTCATCACCAACAACATTTGATCATCATCACGATCATCTTCATCATCGCCATCATCATCAGCATCATCATCATCATCATCAGCACCATGAGCAGCAGAAACATCACCTTTATTAATCATCATCATCAATCATCGTTGTCATTATTTTTTTCCATTTTGTACCACTATCAACAAACAACATTTTTTGCAACACTAACTTCCTTCCTTCTCCCATGAACAGACATCGATGAATGCCTGGAGAAACCTTGTACTCAGAACTGTGAGAACACCGACGGCGGATTTAAGTGTATCTGCAAACAGGGATATAATCTCAAAGGAGACAACTATACTTGTGAAGGTAAAGTGAAATTTTTCCATTTTATTCTTTTTCTTTGATTTTTCTACCTTTAAGTAGCATAATTACACGCAACCCAAAAGTTGAGCTGTTTAATAAAGAGCATTTTGTGTGGTTTGTTTTAGATATCAACGAATGTGCTCAAGGCAATTACAACTGCAGTGACCCCTTCCAGCAATGTATCAATATCGACGGTGGATACAAGTGTGAATGTGAACAAGGTTCTTACTGGTCTGGTAGCTCTTGCAAAGGTAAAAACGAATTTCAGAAAAAAGAATTTCTATGAAATCTAGAACGAGAGCAAGGCCGTTTATCATGCGTCACCACGCTCATTCATATGAGAAATAAAATCGTTTGTCCTGAACACATGCAAACTCGGCCTGAAGCGCTTGAATGTGATTGAGTCACAGACTTAATGTCAATTTCCCAATACTAAAACCTCGAAAATATTTCCTTGTTTCTAAATTAAATATTCTCACACAACTTCCTTCTACAGCTCCTCAATCTCTAACATCAGAAATTCAAAAATTAATATACCACACTATTTTCACAGAAATTCCTACCGCAGGTTCTGGTTCTCAAACTACCACAAGTCCTGGTTCTCAAACTACCGCAGGTCCTGGTTCTCAAACTACCGCAGGTCCTGGTTCTCAAACTACAGCAAATCCTGGTTCTCAAACTACCGCAGGTCCAGGTTCTCAAACCACCGTACGTCCTGGTTCTCAAACTACCGCAGGTCCTGGTTCTCAAACTACCACAGGTCCTGGTTCTCAAACAACTGCAGGTGCTGGTTCTCAAAC